CTGGCTGGATCAGGCAGATGCGCCCCCCAATCAGGCACTGTAGAGGGCCGCTCGCAGTGGCCTCGGAAGAGCGAGCGGTGAGAGCCGGGTGATGGTGTCATACAGAGGGAGCCATGGCTTCGTTTAGCGGGGGTCGTGACGGCGCCCCCCCTCAGTCCTGCGCCCGGGGCAAGTGCCCCCCCGGTTGTTACGCCACTGCATATGGGACATAGGATGAGGCATCTGGGACATAGGATGGGGCATCTGGGACATAGGATGGGGCATCTGGGACATAGGATGGGGCATCTGGGACATGGGAAGGCGGGATCTGGGACACAGTATGGGGAATAGGATAGAACATCTGGGACAAGGGATGGGACATCTGGGACATAGGAAGGGGCATCTGGGACCAAGGATGGGGCATCTGGGACATAGGATGGGGCATCTGGGACCAAGGATGGGGCATCTGGGACATAGGATGGGACATCTGGGACATAGAATGAGGCAAATGGAACATAGGATAGGGTAGAGTCAGTGGTCATATTAAAGAGGACCTGTCCTTTCTCTATACCGTCCATCAGATTCCAGTGTCATTTTTTGTCACGTTGAACCAATGGAAGTTTACACAGGTCCATGCGCCCTCCGCCCTCCCATGTGACAGTAAGGGGGCCTAATGATTGGCTGTTCAGGCTCCCACAGCTGCTATGTGTTGTCCTTGTTGGTGTATCGGGGTGCAGAAGGTAAACGCCATTAAAGCCCAACTATCCCCACAATGCACTTTTCAAGTTCTGCCTTCACCTCCCTCTCTATCCCTCTCCTCTTTTGAAGCTCACTGTATTCGGCTTTTCTCTACAATTTCGCTGAGGGTTGCTGTGATATACCGGCCACCTGGACCCGTATCTCGCTTTCTGGGTGACTTCTCTGCCTGGCTGCCCGACTTTCTCTCCTCCAGAAATACCAGCCATCATTCTCAGACATCCCAACTCTCCCGGACGCCCCGGGAGTCTCCCGCTATTAGATAGCGGCTCCCGGCCGCCCGGGAGAGAAACACTTTCTCCCGCAAAGGTTTACTCTGCTCAGTTTTGTTTGTTTTTTTCTGACATCGGAGCCGCCGACTGCCGTCAGTCAGGGAAAAAAAAAACAGTGTAGGAATGCATAGCTAGATTCCTATTGGCTATTTCACTCTGTAATATCCAATAGCAAACTAGCTATTGCACCCGCTCACTGCAGCTGTCAGTCAGCAGAGGGGGACCTCTTCTAGTGATTGACATCAGCTGAGAGCGGGTGCAATAGCCAGCTTGCTATTGGATATTGCAAATTAAAATAGCCAATAGGAATCTAGTTATGCATTCCTATGCTGTTTTTTTTTTTCTTTTCTTTTAATTCTGACGGCAGCAGTGGTCAGAATACTAAAAAAAACCCTGCATAGGAATGCATAGCTAGATTGCTATTGGCTATTTAAATTTGCAATATCCAATAGCAAGCTGACTATTGCACCCGCCCTCTGCTGCTGTCAGATAGCAAATAAACTATTGCTTCCTGTGCTATCTGCCATTATTTCAGTTTCTCC